TATGCTTGCAAATATGCCATTTATAAGAGCTAAAAATTGATAGAATTAATTAAATTTTAATCTGATAGTGTTGTGTGATTTCATGCACGCAGCCCTGGGTTTTTGCTTTGAGCTTGCTTGGACTGACCCCACTTGCAGAACGTGTCAGCTTTTTGACAGAGTAAGGGGGCTATATGCTATAAACTACTATTTGATTTCTAAATCTTATAAACAAGCAAGCTGTACGCAGGGATCGGAATTGATCATTAATTTTCTTTCTGGGTGTGTTTTTCAAAAATTGCAGGCAAATTGCTTACTACACTGGTCCGACAGGTACTCGACCCCGATATCTTTTTTTACCGATCTTCACCATATCTCTGATAAATATTTCATATGCGGTGCTATGAAGGGAGTGGAAGGCGGTTTTTCTTGGGAAACTTGATGCATGAAGCCAACATTCCAACATCAAATTATTTATTTAGTCATATCAAACTTAATTAATTAAAAAAAAATATGGGATAGAACTGCTTCCAAGCTTCCTCGTGATAAGAGGAAAAAATAAAAATTGACAGTTGCTTGGTGGTATATGATTCAGACCAACCTACGAAAAAGATTTCGTAACTCTTCTATTGTCCCTTACCATTAAAAAGCTTCTTGCTTCTTTGATCATTATCGTTATAGTATTTAATTTAAAAAAATAATTTTAATTAAATAAATTATATGGTTATTAGATAATGTTTTAAAATATAATTTATATTATTTTTTAATAAAAAAAAATTTAGATTTGAAATTTATATAAGTTAATATCTCTTTATATTTGATTTTTATTATATATAATAAGCTGGTGAGATTCAAATTTGTATTTATTAATTGACATCTTGATTTACCTTAATTTTTAATAGTGAATGTTAATTCGTGGTCATGAAAAACCTTGCTACTGGAATTGGGCTTGTCATCCATGTAAAGAAGTTTCATAATGCTGGAATTGGGCTTGTCATCTCTTGTCATCCATGTAAAGAAGTTTCATAAGATTATTGAAGAAAACTTAAGGCAGCGTGAAATTTAATTCCTTCTAATCTTTGTTTTTGCAGTGGGAGGGCTCCTAAATGCAACATGTGGTAATGCTACAGAACTGATAATAGCTATTTTTGCACTCTGGCAACACAAGATACAGGTGGTGAAATATTCACTCTTGGGCTCCATACTATCAAACCTACTTTTGGTTCTTGGCACCTCTCTCTTCTGTGGTGGCATTGCCAACCTTGGAAAGGAACAAAAATATGATAGGGTAAGCTAGCTGATGTAATTTGAAATGTTCATCAGTTCTGAACTCTTCTTCTTCTAGCTTTATCATGGCCACAGTTAGATGATAACACTGGCATGGTTATAAATGAATGAACAGAGACAAGCTGACGTGAACGCGCTGCTTTTGCTCCTGGCATTGCTGTGCCATATGCTGCCACTGCTGTTTCGGATTTCTGCAGCCTCCGTTTCCCTCACGGAAGTCCCAACACTGCAGTTGTCGAGAGCAAGCAGCATTATAATGCTGCTTGCATACATTACATACATTATCTTTCAGTTAGTGACACACAGGCAACTGTTTGAAGCCCAAGAGGTGATTAATCAATCATTACTATAAGTATCCTCTTTCCTTCTGAATGCTTTGATCAAATTAAAATGCCTTTGAAGTTTCTGTCAATTTAGATTGGCTGAGTTATTGATTGATTGGCGCAACTCTTTAGGAATCTGTGGAAGATGGCGATGATGTGCTTTCAGAAGAAACACCTGTGATAGGATTCTGGAGTGGAATAGTTTGGCTGGTTGGAATGACTGCTGTCATAGCCTTGTTGTCAGAATATGTTGTGGCCACGATCGAGGTAACTAAACTATCAAGCATCTTGAAAGAGCACTGTTCTTAATTATTTCTAATATTACTCTGGCATGGACTGAGAAAATATGCCTTTTGATTTCACAGGATGCTTCAGAATCTTGGGGCCTTTCTGTCAGCTTCATTAGCATTATCTTGCTGCCAATTGTTGGAAATGCGGCTGAACATGCTGGAGCAGTCATTTTTGCTTTTAAAAACAAGTTGGATATATCTTTAGGTGTTGCACTAGGCTCTGCAACTCAAATTGCTATGTTTGTGGTAAGTTTCTTAATAAAAAATTCAAACGGTGTCTGACCTAACCTCCCTCCTCTCCAAAAAAAAAAATGACCAGTCTGACTTATCAACTCAAACGGTGTCTTTGACCTAACCTTCCTGCTCTCCAAAAAAAAAAAAAAATGACCAGTCTGACTTATCTTATACGCCACAACTTTCTGCAGGTTCCACTTTGTGTAATTGTTGCTTGGATTTTAGGCATTGAAATGGATCTTACCTTCAATCTCCTTGAGACTGGTGCTCTTACCTTATCAATAATCACCACAGCCTTCACCTTACAGGTAATATATGTGATTAAGTATTAACCAATTCTGCAGCTAAGCTAATCAATGACAACAAAATTACTTTTTAAGCATATTAAGAACAGAATCTCCTTACTCTTGCTCTAATTAATTAAAGAATTAGTATAGTTCATTCTGTGTATGCTAGTCCATGAATGCTCAGGGAAATTGCTTCCCCTTATTTGTTACAGGACGGTACTTCTCACTACCTGAAAGGATTGGCTCTATTGCTGTGCTACGTTGTTATTGGGGCGTGCTTTTTCTTAAACAAGACACCATTGAGTAAGAACTTACAACAGTTTTTGAGGCTTGGTTAAGAATTTTGAATCTATCCCTTTCCATCCATTCTAAATCCATTCCATATCCAAAATTTGCATTTTATTTTTATGCAGACCATGGAAATGTCATCGATTTGGGAGTCAAGTCCGCAGCTGGATCAGTCATTGCAGCTTAAATTTGTTTCATATGATCATGAACGCAGGGCTTGTCCTTCAGGATGAAGATTACATCATCAAAACATCATCATCAACAGATTGAATGAATTTTGTTATTCTTTCATTTTGTTTCAAAGGTAACTGAGGAGTCAACACCATTGTAGCTTCATGAAGAAAGGCAACAACATATATATGTAATACGTATAGGATTTCTCAGGGTGTTTTTCGCAACCGAGTTTTTGTTTCTTGAGCCAGTGTATATATAGAAGCTGCTGGCGTATGGCACAGGGGTTGTCTTTACTCCTGTATCAATCTAATAAATAAATGGAAATTATTTCTTGTTTGTGCTTGCAATTTGATTTCTATATATTGACGATGATAATTTTAGTGTGTCTGTGCGTGTGTAAAAAGCACGTGCCTAACTCCAATTCGTCCTTTAGTTTGTGTGGTATACCAAACTATATATCTTTATTGGTGATGAAAACTTGAAGTTCTGTAACGGCACCGGTGCTTCAAAGCGAGTTATGGTGCCGTTGTTTTTTAAAGAATATTTTAGTAAGGAATATATTAAAATAATATTTTTATTATTAAAATAATCTGAAAATATTAAAAAAAAAATTAATTAAAAAAAAATTAAAAAAAAATATTTTTAAAATGTAAAAATAAACATGGCACAACTCAACTACTTGAAGGAGAAATCCACTAAGGAAGATACGTGCCTTACGCCCACAACCACCTTAAACTCATCTTCCATGCATCTTTTGATGTACTTGTGGAAATCAAATTTGCTATTTGGAGCAAAATGTGCCTGCAATACCATTTATTAGTCTACTGGTGCAAAGGTGGGCTAGAAACACCAGCCATCAAAACCCTAATCAAGACGAAGTTGACGGCTCACGTTTATAAACCCATGTCTAATAGCCATGTAATCCCCCTTTGTCACTGAACCAGTGAATAGCCTAAATAATGCAACCTGCCATATAAATAACATCGTGATGACTATGGACCACCCCCATTAAAGCGTAAATTCAAGGTCTAGATATTTTAGTTCAATGGACAAATTAGAGTAAACTATTCTTTAGTCCTTAAGTATTTTTATATTTTTTCTTTGAGTCTAGAAAAACTTATCAGAGTATTAATATTATCATTTAGTTAACACTAGAAACATTTATAATTTAAATGTGAATGTTATTCTTTTAGTTTTAGATAGGAATAATAATAATAATAATAATAATAATAAAGTTTCCAGGATTGAAAGATAATTATCTTTTTGAGTGAATTAAGAAAAAAAATCTTTAGTTATGGGAATTTTAGTTGTTTAAGGTGATGATTTTATTTTTTAAAAAAGTATTGTGGGCCCTGTTTTTTAAATAATTTTTTTATATTAAAATATATGTTAATGTTTTTTTTATTTTATAAAAATTATTTTTGATATTAATACATAAAAATAATTTTAAAATATTAAAAATATATTAATTTGTAATAAATAAATAAAATTATTTTTTAAAAATTTTAAAATGCTGAAACAAGCATCGCTAGACTTATTGATTAAGGAATACAAAATGAAAAGGTTCCGTTTTGTCAACTCATTGCAGTTATGAATTCCATGGCATCTTTCCCTTCCAATAGGACAAAATCTTGATTTCGTCGATGCCCTTGCACCGTGATGACAAGTATAATGGTCGAACTTGTATTAAAAATAAAAAATATTAGACTCGGGAGCATGGATTATTTAGTTTATTATTCTAAAAATATATTAAAAAAAGTTATTTAAAAAAAATTAGATTTCATACTTATTTTAATTATAAGCATGACAAGCTTGTGCTCAAACCTAAAAACTTACATGCTTATAAGAATATATTAAAAATTATATTAGAGATGCAAATACAATATAAGTCTGCATATTAAATATATAAATTATTTTTGTTTAGATTAAAATAAATAAAAAAGGAAATTACTTGTTGAAATATTTTAAAAATAATAATGCTTTTATTATTATCAATTAAATTTTTGAATCTTAAAAATAAAATGAGTTTTTTTTATTTTTGTAATTAATTTATTAATTAATTAAATTCAAATTAAATATTAGAATTGAATTAATTTTATAATACAGAAATTATTTCAAATAGCCTGTAAATCATTAATAAAACAAAGTCACTTGCTTAAAATCCCAAGAAATCCCTCTTTTTAGTTTGCTCCTCCCTCTCTGCAACAACCTTTACAGTTTCTACCTTATCCCTTCTCTACCCCTAACAAACTCTCAAAATCACCAAATCATACCATGACAGACAAAGAGAGGGCCATTCTCTGCTTCCAGACGTTACCAAACCTAAAAACTACACACTGCTCTCTCACGGAAACCACGCACCACCGCGAACCTCTGTGGAGAAACGCGCAATTCAGTTGCAGAATCCGGAGTGATGGAAGCAATGGCAGTTTTAGTAATTTTGCTTCAGTCTCAATGGCAGAGAATAAGAAAGATAAAGGAAATGAGTTCGCGCCGAGTACGGCTCAGCTATTGAAGCATCCGTTAGCAATACTGGCTTTTGTCCCGAGAGATGCTGCGATTTTTGCCGCTGGAGCTGTCGCTGGTGCCGCCGCGAAGACCGTCACCGCTCCGCTTGACCGTATTAAGCTACTCATGCAGGTGTTCTTTTTAAGTTTCTCTGCTTTCGGATTTTATCACGTGTTTTTCGTGGTGATATTTTTATTTTGTTGCGAACGGTGTCGTTAGTGTTGCTGTTTGGTTGCTGAGAAAATGGAATTTGAGTATAGTGAAATGTAGGATCCGGAAAAAATGTACAATAAAATTTTGCATTATTTTTAAATGTTTTAATAATTGATAATTAGGAACATTATCAATAAGATTAATCAGTATTAATTTGATGTGTTTGTAGATTCATGGAGTGCGGGCCGGGAAGGAAAGTGCTAAGAAGGCAATTGGTTTCATTGAGGTGTGTAGCAAATGTAATGTGGGTTATGTTTTGAATTTTTTTATCGAGAATTTTTATGATTATGGAGCTGTAGTTCAATTAGCCGAGCATGGAAAGAGTCTTGCCTCCCTTGTTTATCTTAATGAGGTTGCTTATTGGTCAATGAACTGCAGGCGATATTAATGATAGGGAGAGAAGAGGGAATCAAAGGGTATTGGAAGGGAAACCTCCCTCAGGTAGTTGGCGATTTTTTACTTTCATGAATAATTAAGATTTGATTTGTTTTCCGATTTGGGATTTATGGTGAATTTCAGGTGATTCGGATCATACCTTATAGTGCCGTCCAGCTCTTTGCTTATGAAACTTACAAGGTAATCCTAGTGAAAATGTGTATAAGCAAGTTGTGAGAGAGTGTTACAAGTATTTGGAATTATTATTGTTTGAGGCATTTGGTTGATTTTTAGTTATTTATTTTTTGTGTGTGAATTTGTAGAATATGTTTAAGGGAAAGGATGGTGAACTCTCAGTTATTGGCAGACTTGCAGCAGGTGCTTGTGCAGGCATGACATCTACTTTTGTGAGTAATTCATCAGTGGAAATTGAAATGAAAATTTTCATTACATAGCTACCTTTTGGGATTTAATTGGTTATGTCAAGGATAATGTGTTTGCTTAAGTGTATGAAGCTGTTTCCTAAAAATTTTACAGTGATGCGTAGACATCTAATTCTTTGTATTACTTTTTGAAAAAGTAATGTGTATTCAGTACCACATGCATTTGTATCTTAAAATCATCTTACTGTTTACATTTGTCCAGGTAACATATCCTTTGGATGTCCTGAGATTACGCTTAGCAGTTGAACCTGGGTATCGCACTATGTCTGAGGTCTGATAGTGATTACTAGAATACTTCTTATGACAAGATAATAATTTATGAACAGAAAAGGGTTGATTATTTGTCCAGATTGCATTAACAATGTTACGGGAGGAAGGAGTTGCATCATTTTACTATGGTCTCGGACCTTCTCTTCTTGGCATTGCTCCCTATATTGCCGTGAACTTTTGCATTTTTGACTTGTGAGCTCATTAATCCTAAAGCTTCTTTTATCTATCTATTTATTTAGTCCTTTATGGAAAAGGATAAAAATATAAAACAAGTGTTGAATACTACCCTCTTTGAACTACAGGGTGAAGAAGTCATTGCCTGAGAAATATCAACAGAAGACTCAATCATCTCTACTGACAGCTGTGGTGTCAGCCGCTGTTGCAACTCTCACTTGCTATCCTTTGGATACAGTAAGAAGACAAATGCAAATGAAGGGTACACCTTACAAATCAGTTTTGGATGCCATTCCAGGTAAGTTGCACTAACAAATAAGAGTACAGATATGCATGGAGATATTTATTGTCCCGGAAATCATGATAAAAGAGTTCTAGTAGCATGGACCAAGACCAAGACTCAAACATATATGAGAGTGGATATTGTATTGCTAGCCCAGACATCGCGTAAAACATTTAGCTCTCTCTCTTTGAGTGTAGGCATGGAAAGTGGCAAGGAGGTTCCTGCAATTAAGATAGGCTTAGATAGCTAGCGATACTATTATCAGCTAAAGAAAGGGACCATCTACTACATATCAGACTATCTCCCTTTTCTCATTTATTAGTGCTAATGTCATTTGATCATTGAGTCCATCATTCCCTCCACAACATTCCAACTTTTAACCTCTTGACTCTTGAGCCCCAAGGGCAACTGTAGTTCAAGAAGAAAGAGCCTTAAATCTGTTCATGTTCTATTCTTAGCCCAATGCCAGGGCAATTTGAATTTTTGTTGAAAGAGCTTTTTTCCTGTATACTTGCTCGTAACATGCTAGGTGAAACTTGATTACAATGCCTGGTGAGCAATCCTTCCTCTGAAATACCTTGATTTTGGAAATTATAAAGTTATAGCTAGGAGAGCTTATATCCATACTTCTCCAAATATGATTAAAATGAAAACAAGTTTTTGGTTTCTAACTGGATCAAGCTTCTCAAACACTGTGCTTTTGAATTTCTTAATATTGCAAGGCAGCTTACCCATTGCTCTTATATCAACTCTATATAGAGCTCCTAGGCCTTTTGAAATAATATAGCTTCTTCAATTTCATGTGGCTGTAGCCCTTGTTTGAGTTGCGTCACATGAATCCTAATGGCTCTTGGGTACAAGTCTTGATATAGGTTACATATCTCAATCTAATCAGAATTTTCTCACGTTATTAATTGCATTTTGCAATTTATTTTTGAGACTGATGGTACAAATATAATGTGCTCTTGTTGATGCAGGAATCGTGCAGCGTGATGGAGTTATTGGCTTGTATAGGGGTTTTGTTCCCAATGCATTAAAAACCCTTCCAAATAGCAGGTTCACTTTCATTCCCTTTTTTATTTTTTGATATATGCTCTTGAAAAATCCTTCAATATGATGTCTTGTTTCATGTGAAACTGATGAGCTTCTGGTTTTCTTTGATCTGGGAATGCTTGAGCATTTGGTAGTTATCTGAAAATGCATTAATCGGATCTGGCATAGAAAATCTGAAAAATCTAAGATTATGGATCCACCGTGCAAATTCTGGTTTTGCAACTCATAGACACTAATGATGCCCAAATGGTGCTGGAATAGTGAAGATTATTTGTTTCCTGTGCATAAAAAGATATGGGCACACAATGAAAAGTCGTTGATTTCATAAGAAATTTCTGCCTTGGCTGACATGAATCTACTTTTCTCTTTTTCTGCTGCAGCATTAGGCTTACCACTTTTGATATCGTGAAGCGTCTAATTGCAGCCAGTGAGAAAGAGTTTCAGAGAATTGTGGAGGAAAACCGCCAGAAACAAAGCCAAGTTGCCAACAAGTGAACCATCCTGGTAATGGATTTCTTTGTATTGTTACCAACCATCATGGTTCCATTAGTTTTTTGTTGTAGGCATTATGTTGCGCTTGTAACACAGGCCCTGATTATTTGTTGTATTGATTGCCTGATTAATGGATAACATTTTGTGCACTTGAGGATCTTAATAGTAGAGAATTCTCTGCATTCCTAACAGCAGAAACCACTCTCTTTTTCGAAAACAGCAGAAACAACATTCTTTGCATACAGAGTTGCGCAATTTTTCTCAGAGTACTGGAGGTGGCATGGAACTGCAGGCATCTACAAGAGCCTTTGATTTAATCACGCGAGTGACTTAAAGAAGTGGTAAAGCGAAATAAAATAAGTTTAGGAAAGGCAACTTTATGCCTGCAAAATAATTGCAGTACTGAGATCCATATGGCAAGGTTTTCAGTGTCATTTCCTACAGCTGAACTTAGTTGGAGAAGGTTCTCATGGCATGCTTGTTTTTATTTTTGTTTCACTAGGAACTTACGGGGAAAAGAATTAGAGAAAATTAGACTAGGTAAACTTAAGGAGGAAGGGAGTTGAGACTGTTAGAGGTTTACGAGATTTGTGCCTGTCGCGCGCCGGGTAAAGTTTTTTCAAACATAAAAAAAATATGTGTTAAGGTAAAATCAATCTTTTCAAAGAAGTAAGGGTAATTCACTTAATTAGGTTAAATAAGATTAACAAAAGGTATAAGAAATGTTTTTGACAATAATGAACTATAAAAAAATAAAAAATAGCTAACAAATATCATAATCAAATGAGTTAGCAAATATCATCAAGAGAAAAAAAAATATTGTAAACTCGTTTCATCTTGGACACCATATCACAATTAAAAAACAACTTGTTAAAACAATTGTAATAGAAAGGTTATATAACAACATTGAAAAAGATTAAATGCATTATTAGAGCAACAATATGTAAACCGAACAAGCAAAATATTATAAAATAAATATATCATGTTTATCACACCACAATTAAAAAAAACTTGTTAAAACAATTCTAATATTATTGTGAAAGATTATACAATGATATTAAAAGAGATTAAATGCATTATTAGAGCAACAACCTGTAAACCAAATAAGCAAAATATTATGAAATGAACATAATATGTTTATATTTAATTAATTAATTTAATTTAATTCAAAAACAATAATTCTTTTAAAAAAGTGAAATTTAACAAAGAGTAACAAAAAAAAAAGATTCAAGATGACTTAAGATTTTTTTCAAAATCAATGAAAATTTTTATAAAAAGAAAATAAAAAAATATATCCCAAACTCCAATTAAATAAATATTAAAAAATAAAATTAAAAAAATATGAGGTTGAAAAAATCAAGCAATACAGAGTGAATCTCCTAAACTTGAGTTAATTTTTTAAACTCATAATCAATAAAATCTTAGACTAAGGTTCAATCAAGAAGTTCATTTCCTAATCAATTTAATATTAAAAGATTAAATTCGATATCTAAAAAAATTTGTCAAAGTAATACAAATAGAAATTAAAAGTTAAAAACCAAATTTGATATAAAAATAAAATTAAATATCGTGGGAAGAAATTAAAAATAAATGCAATTAAAAAAATAATTCAAAACAAATAAAAATAAAAAAAATCATAGATTAAACCTAATGGATAAAAAAAACAGAAAAAAAATAAAAAAAAAAAATTGAAGAATTATTTTAAAATTTTATAATTCAAACATGAAAATTAAAGAGAAATAAAAAAAATGTTTACACTAAACTGAATGTGCATACACCACAAGCACCGCTTAGAAGTGAAGGGGCTACCAAAACTATTTGACTGTCACCCAACCAACTACCATTTGGCCACAAGATCACCTACACATGTCACCTGAATGAAATGGCTTCATTCCATGCCTCAATCATTTTTTTAATAATATTTATATTTATTCAATTATAAAAAATCAATCATCCAACTTGATAATAACAAAAATATTAGGATGAAAAAACGAAAAAACCCCAGTCAAAGATTTTTTTATAATTTAAAAAACAATATAGTCATTACATTGTACTTTAAAAAATAAAAAGTCTAAATAACATGTCATTTCACTATTTTTTATTTTAAATATAAATTAATAATTTTACTGTTTAAAAATATTAAAAAAAACCTCATATCCCTGATAACCAGGCCAGATATTTTTCCTGATAAAGATAAAATCATAATTTTATTATTATAATCCATGGTGAAGATGGGTACCAAACAATGGCATTCAGAACACCGTTTCAGTTTTTTATTTATGTTCCCTGTGCATAAACCTCTTTGATAATTGGAAATAATTTTTGGAAAATGAGCTTCATCTCGTATAAACTTTTAAGCAGGAAGTTCCCACCCCCCACCCCACGAACAGATACAGACGCTTCTGAAACTATATGCAAAGGAGAAGCATTTTCTTGTCATGAATCAGGAAAAAAACAGACTTTGAGGTCTTTGTATCATTCAAGGAGGTACTCGAGAAAAATAAGTTGGAATGATTGAAGGGTGAATAAGTTACTCAGTCTTTTTCTGTCAGCTTTCCAGTGTGTGGCAAGCTTACTGGTTACATGAATCTGGAAAATTTATTAGATCATCCCGCACAATGCCTACTGGAGATGGAAGCTAGGTTTGAGGATTTCATCAAGCAGCTAGATGCAGCTTGATGGGATACACATCAAATAAATCTGAAGCTCCCTCGGGAAATCTCCATCGAAGTATTGGGTCCTGTTTGATTCTCAAACACCAGCAATTGGATTGTCATTTCCATGGTTATTATCAAAAGCCCCCTCTAGCTATGCTTGGCATGCGGCCTCTCCACCAGAAAAGACTTGATGCTGGCATAATTCCGTTTATCAGGCTGCTTCAGATATGGTCCAGCTGCGTGTGTGCTAGTCCTGCTTGAAAAGAAATAGAGATTTGCGAGCAATTTTGCCAGGGGAGAGGGTTCGAAGTTGTAGGCTAGTGGGAAGGTTATAGTCGACTGAAACTTGCTCACCCCCATTGAGAACTAGAGGAAAGCACGCTTGGTACGGATCAGCCTACCATTACGAAGAATCTATTTGAAATGTCAATCTAGCCCATCATAAGGTAAGAAGTCAAGAAGCTAAATAAGGCATTGAATGGATTTGTTCGAAGCATTTGGATCAAGATTTATTTCAAGAAAGTTTCAACACATGGGGTAGCCTATAATGAATATAATTCATGTGTGAGAATGACTTACTCAACCCCCAACTTGGGTCTACGGTCGGCGGTATAATTTGACAACCTTGTTTGAACAACTTTTCATATTCTACAAGGAAAAAGATAGGTGAGACAATTAATTTTAATATTATAAAAATATTTTAGAAGAGTATTATTGGAGTTTTCATATTTTACAAGGAAAGGGTAAGCATTTAATTCTAACATTTGTAAGAATATTTTGGTAGAATATTTTCACAGTAGCAATTATAAAAATTTTCATATTTATTTACAAGAAGAGTTAAGGTTGGCATACATTTAAGTTGGTTTTGAGTTGATTTTTTTTAATGTATAGTTTTATATTAACAAGTTAAAATTTTATGATCTAAAGGTCTATTTTTATATATAGTTAAAATATTATAGTGATAAAAAATTAGAAATTTTTTTTGATAAGATTTGTGCGGTATTTATATTAAATTTCTAATTGATTTATAATTTTTTTTGTTAATTTATTTAGATTTTTTTAGTATTATTTATGATATTTACTATTTATTATAAATAGGAATTATTTAACTTGTATTTATGATTTTTTAATAGACTTTACTTTCATAATAGTTTGTGTGCATAAAAAAAACTCATTCTTTTATTTCATGAAAGAAATAAAATTAATTTATCAAAAAACAACTATTTTTATGAGGTTATTTTTATACTTTTCATTTGAAATTTACTAATCATTGAGAAAGGTTGGAATCTTAATATTATTTGTATCTTAATTTAAGATAATCATTTGTCCTACTTTTTATGAATTATATTTAAACATGCTTATGGTTACTAAATCTTTATATTCATGTGATTTGCATATCACTCCTAAGCTTCAATGGGATCTTTAAGGATTTTGCTTGATTGAAATTATGTGGGATTTACATCTTATACAAAAATCTTTAAGGTTTTCCCAGTAATTATAATATTATAATTCCCTGCCACTATCCCGTTATGCCACTTCTACCAGCTGCTTATCAACAAAAGGAAGAGAAATGCGTCTCAGTTTTTGTGATTTGTGCTAGCAGAAATTAAAGTTTAGATAAGGAATGACTAGTTCAACGAATTAAGCTTAGTTTGTAACCAATATTAAATGCACTTTCATGGGGGTGTGGACCCAAATTGTAGAAAATTAAGAGAAAATAATCACACGTTAGAGTAGCAGTAGTAATAATTAATTCTTAATTTATGTTGTTTAATTAAATATTGATAATAGTAATAATTAAAGCTTAAACTTTTTATTTTTCAAAATTAACTATAAAAAAGAAATGAAGAAACATTATATATGCACAGGAAATAAATTATCATTCATTGAAATAGTAGTTTAACTAAATTATCTCTTACCCAAAAAAAATTTAACCGGGAATTAGGTTCAGATTGATATTTTCACTGTGATATAATTATGTTTTTACAAACTATATATATATATATATATATATATATATTACTCGGGGATGTTTTAATCTTTTTAATTATTTTAAAATAGTGTTTTTGATACCTTTAAAGATAAAATCAACATAACTTTCTCACTGGGTCTTTTTTTTTTATCATTTTACATTAATTTTAATATAAATTTAAAGGTTATTCAAAGATATTATTATATATATTAAATATTATTTAAAAAATTTATTGATGTGTACTACACGTGTGGATGACTACCTATGCCATTAAGACAGTATATCTGAGACTATATAGCTATCAAACACTATCTTGAAAGATTTTATGATTTCATTTTTTAAAATTAAATTAGTTGAAAGTTAAATTTTTTAATTGAAATCGAATTAAGGATTTCACTAATTACGAGTTTTAAAGATTAAATTAAGTTTAGAATTATTCTTCAAAGTTTGCTTCTTCTTTTTTTAATCATATGTTTTCTTGTTTTTTATTTTTTTTAGAGTTTCACTTTGTTATTTTTTTTATTGTTTTCCTTTTATATGGTAAGTCTCAAGTTCATGAACAAAG